GCTGTTTGTGGGGGTGGGCTGGTACCTGTTTGTTGACTCGGCTTTTGTTAGGGGCCTCACCCACTCTGTGGGTGAGCCAGGGGAAGAGATCCTCTTGGTTTTGGGGAGTTTCAAATATGCTTGGAGCCTGCAGGCCAGTATGTTTGCAGCACAATGCTTTCTGAATGTCTGCCTGATTTCGGTTTTGGCCATGCGGCACTTCTCGAACAATAGCAGTGCCCGGAAACCTGCCCCGAGGTCAGATAATAGTGAGTGGCAAGGGGTGTGGGAAAAGATGGGCAAAGCCTGAGTCGGTGGGCACCTCCAGTGCTTTGGAATTTCACTCCTGAACAAATGCAGAGGCCTGAAAAGCTGATGGAGTGCTTAGAAAGGGTGTGTTACCAAGCTGGCAAAACCCAGGAGACACAAAACGCTGCAGTGTGTTGGGGACTTGCCCATATCTACTGTGCCCTCTGTAATGCCACCCACTGCCCTTAAGGAGAAGAAAAGGCTACAGAACATGAGAGTGAACTCACGGAAACAGTATCTGGGCCGGGGGGACAGGCAGAGCCAGTCTCAGTTGTCTCTACCAGCACAGCAGCTGAGGCAGAGCCAGCCAGTGATGGTATAAGTTGCCTTGATACAGAAAACCAAATATACCAGAAAGTCATTTCGCAAGGTGAGGGATGGGGATGAGCCAGGCCCAGCACAGGAACAGGAGGAAGGGCCAGTGGTGATCGACTGAGCTGCGAGATATGCGGAGAGATTTCGGCCACCTGGGAGGCAAGCAGATTTGCACCTGGCTGCTCTGATGCTGGGACAATGGAGCCAGTGCTTTAGAAATGGAGGGGAGAGAGGCCAAGCAGCTGGGATCTTTGGCCAAGGATGCTGGCATTGATAGGGAAATAGAGAAACAGGCTCCAACACTCAGCCTTTGGAGGCGACTTGTGCTCAGTGTAAGGGAGAGGCACCCCTACAAGGATGATATCCTATGTCAGCTAAGCCAATGGACCAACATTGAGAAAGGCATCCAGAACCTCAGGGAACTGGCTGTGTTTGAGATGATCTATGGTGATCTGAATGATGAGCAGTCACCCATGGACCCAGATCAGGCCCCTTGCACACACCTGATGTGGCGAAAGCTCCTGAAGAGTGCACCAGAAGCACACTCGAAAGCATTGGCAATAGTGTCCTGGTGGACAGACACCCAGACTCTAACAGTGGATGGAGTGGTTGGCAAGATCCGGCAATGTGAGGGAAATTTCCCTTCATCTCAACATTCCTGGGTCTCAACTGTGGAGGAACTGTCTCAGAGGGTCCAGAACATGGAAGAGGACATGTCCTACGTTCCACCTGCACGGGCTGATGTCTCAGCCATTAGAAGTAAACGTTTCCCCACCCAAGGGAAAGGCAGCAGAAGGCACACACCACGAGGCACCCTGTGGTTTTTCCTCCACGACCATGGAGAAAACATGAGGAGGTGGGATGGACAGCCCACTGCCGCCTTAGCTGCACGAGTAGAGCAGCTGAAAGGGAAGACCATCACAAAAGGGGAGTCCTCCAAGAAAAGCACAGCTCCAGTGTCCAGTCAGAAATACCCCAGACAGGATAGAATGGCCAACGTTATGTCTGACCCTCTTGAGGGGACCAGTAAATCATTCTTACAAGAAGTGAGTGATGATGAGCAGGATTAGAGGGGCCCTGCTTCCAGCCAGGTGGAGGAAAGGGATAAT